TTTAAATTAACTTTTAAAAGAATTTGAGTCTCAATTTTATTGACGTAATAGACAGCGCGGAAATGAAATAGTCGACCCATATACCCTGATTTCTCGCGTAGCTTTCAATTTGCATTATATTTTTGGTACACTGACATCTGAAAACTCATGATAAGATTCTTCTTATACCAAATATTGATTTATAATATATTATCCAAATTAATTTAAATCGTAAAACGATGCGTTGTTGAAAGATTAATTACGTAGCACAGTGCTCTCAAAAGTTACGTAGTTCTACGTAACTTTTGAGAGAAAATATGCACGTCTCATGTGAGAATAAATCTTTTAATGAAGCGGACCTTTTAATTAAAGCAAGCGACGTTCGGTCTCGTATTTTTTTTCTCCCGACTTGCAAATTCTTTCATTATGTGTATATAGCACACAATGTACATTTGCTAAGATATATTTAACGACCCCCATGCCTGGCCAATGTATAACGTAAGGAGAGTAGGATTCACAGCATTCAATAGCAACATAGATTCAGAAGCAACTACCCACTCAAACTTCAATAGAATTTTAACAGACACTTAACCTGCGTGGTAGTTAAACATCACCTCACCTCAGCTAAAGTTATTAAAGTATGTTTATGCCTAAAACACACTGCTCTGTGCAGTCTAAAATTGAACATTATTCAGTATTAACAAACGTACTTTTATTAAAAAAATCAATACAAAATGAATACTTAGTTCTGTTATCAATGTTGTTCAATATAATAAGTATAGTAGTGTTCGCCATTAATGTACAAATAAACACTTAAAAGTAACTAAATAGCTCAAAATAGCTTAAGAATAAATAATATGAATTGAAAAAGAACCTTTTTACTATTACATTACGCGTTTAAACTGTAATTTTATTTAATATGTACTACTCGCGTAAACTACAGACAGACTTGTAATTCTGAATGAAGTATTTTACGTTTACTTCGTTTACGATTTATAGGTTAGTTTAAAGTTAGTAGAGCATAAATGACTGAGAATTAAAGATGAATCATAATTATTATCTATCACATCAAACAAGCCAGCTTATTCAAATATGTTGATAGGAGTATACAGATACTTACAAACCGTAATTCAACTTCAAAGGCAAGTGGAAATAATTTATATCAATATTTTGCGTTTCGACTCGGTTTGATGTAGCTAATTTGAAAACCAAAAGTCTGCTCTCTAATCAATTTATTTACTTAACAAAGTAAGTTAGTTTTGAGTTAGGAAAACCTTCAATATCAATTTGCTCTACATATTCAATTATTAATTTTTAATTCACATCTGATTCTATCAAGTATGTAACGATAAAAAAAAAAAAACCTTAACGGTTTAAAACGCGATATAATTTTACGTATACGTCGGGCCGTAGTTATAAATAAATTTCAAACAAGTTTAACTAAAATATATCGCTTTTTAAACCGTTAAAGTGTCTTGTTTAAATGTGTACTACTCGCGTAAACAACAGGCAGTATTTAAAAAAAACCTGTTCTTCTAACATGGGGCAAGGATCTGGTACGCTCTTGTGAATCATTTAATAGGCTTAATTACAGAATAGTTGTTCAAAAATTAAAAAACACTATTACTACATCAATCAATGATCATCAGGTTCCGCTGGTTTGAGACTTGTTTACTGTACATAGATTAGCCGGACCAGCAATAAACAAATAAAAAACTCTTACGTGGTTTCACGAAACCACGTTGTAAGCATAACATTTTTATATTATAGGCATTTAATTATTTTTTTTGGAAAAACATTTCATAATTATAAATAAGATTTGTTCATCACAAAACTTGTCATTTAAGCTTATTAAGTGTACTAGTGTGTAACAAGTCTTTCTTAGTTGTAACTTCAGGATCAGCGGCGCCAGGGGCCACTGGAAAACAAGTGTTGCAGCGCAAGTGTGTTTGTTAACTTACACTGAGTGCCTTGTTGTAGAAATTACCATTATTAAAATGTTAAGACAATTATTTATTACTGCCCCGGCTTCGCTTGTGTGCAATACTGATACTAAATACACTACAAAAAAAACTGTGAACGTATATAAAAACCTTCCTCTTGGATCACCCTAAGGTTCTATCTTAAAAAAACACATCAAAATCCGTTGCGTTGTTTTAAGGATTTAAGCGCACATAAGGACAGAAAAGGCGACTTTGTTTTATACTATGTAGAGATGATGACCGACATCAGAAGATAGACAAGTATGGAGTTTACTTGATGATAGGTGATAGATACCCCGGCCCTAAAATAAGCATCTAAGCACGAAGCGCTATCGACCTATTTTGGCATTGGATATATTTGTATAATTCGTCTAATTATAGTTATAAAATTAATTTAGTTCGTAGTTTGTTTTTTGTGTGTTCAACTTTGTATTTTAATTTTTTATTTTAAATATTTCGTTCTGCTTCACCTAATTACCTTTATTTATGTAATTTATGCTAAATCAAGTACCTGAGCTCTAAACAGACCGTATTTTCATGAAAGACAGATCATAGAACATTAACAAGACAATCTGTCGATAACCCTCAATAGAAACAAGAGGCTCGTGTTGGCAATTGAGCCTTGGGTCATTTGGACCCTTTGTGTATGACAGAGGGATTTATTGCTGCTCAATTAACCCACTCATTACGACATTAGCAGTAATTCGATATATGGACTATGAGACCCCTTTTGGGTTTCATTTTATGTATGTAATTAAATAAAATATTATCAAACACCATTCCTTTTTTGTGAATTGAATCCTAAAAAACTTTAATAAGTTAACGTGATCTATATACATAGATCGAGTTACTTAAAAGTAAAATACTAAATATTTAGGAAAAGGCAATTATTGTTTAAATGACGCCCTTTTAACGGTTCGAAACTTGTAGCGTATATAACTTATTTTTAAATACGCCGCTTGTTATTTTTTAATCTGTATTGCTTGTATTAATTACATACAAAACAATGTAATTTAACATTTTAATATTTATTCTCCATTGGATTATACTACAAGAAATATAAAATTTTCTAAAATTGCAATTATTGAATATAAAAATGTTAGTAATTATTGTATGCATTCTCAAATTTCTATTCTAATTGATAAATATTTGGATACTAAAAAAATAGACTGGAGTAAAAGAAAATATATCTCAATGTTTATATAAGTATGTTAATCTATATCAAATATAACCCGGATGAGTGGCATAACCGGATAAAACTAGCGACCCGGGCGCTTCACAGAAGTCATTATGAGGACACTGAACCAGCTTTGAACTTGGGATCGGAGGAAAACACGTATTATTGTACTTGAGCCCTTTGGTTAAGTAAGTTACTGAAACTTGATTGTTTGAAAGGCAGTTCAATGTTCAGGAATATAATAATACAGTTCAATAGAATAAGTAGTTATCATATACCTACATTTTTTGCAACAAATTCATACATTTATTTATCCGAGACCTTTACATATGACTATAATACAAATAAAACAATGCATAATAAAAGAACCTTAATTAACAACAACATTTCATGGATTTCTATGTTAGAGCAAATGAAAAAGCTGTGAACTTTGATGTGATTTCCGAATATTCAAAGCCAACACTGGAAATATATTTACATTTCATCGAGTAATCCTTATGTCTGTCCTCTTCTATCATAAATAACCGTCATAATAAGAAACAAAACTTTATAATTATTAATTTTGGTAAACAGCTATTTTATGACATTGGCATCTTACAGTATCCATAAAAACAATATATTTTTGAAAACTTTAATTTTTAATTAATAAAGATATATAATTAAAAAAAAAAGCTCATTGGTAGAGCAATCAACACGGAAAGCTGACGATGCCGGTTCAAGTCCTGCCCGAGTAGATTTTTTTTTTATTTTTTGATTTTAAAATAAAATAGTATTGTTATTGAAAAATATTACGACCATTTTGCAAAGTTATTGGCTTTGCAGGCTGAGAGCTTAAAAGACTAAGTAGCTTAACTCGTTTCTATTAGATATAAAATTGCTATGTATGTTATCCTCGTATCTGAATATATTATGTTGAATAAACATTTATTAATTTGTATTAAATTCACGCTCTCACCCATCTCTCAATATGATTCAATGAAAAAACAATCCAAATATTGACCGCAAGCGAAATTCGTCACAAGTACCACACCTGCCGCTGTTCCCAACAAACGCTCGTAAACAATGATTTATTGACCAATGTTTTTATCGGCACAATTCAAAATAATTGAATCCTGTTATATCGTTTCAATTAATTTAATTTATTCTACGGCGCTTGACCGAAATAATCCGTGATACAATTAACGCGTAGATAGGTGCTACGCCGTAGCGCGTACGAAAAACGATGCTACGAGATTTAAAAAATAACTCAAATCTACAATTACTGAGTTAAGTATACGGATTAGCGCCTAAAAGGAAAGAACCCTAATGATCCATCACATATTGCTCTAATATCTGAAGCACATTGCAACAGCAGGAGCAATGTCAAAATCAAGGACATAAAGTTTATTTCACCACTCATCCAGAGGTAGCCATGCTGGCACTGCTATAATATACGTGACACTATAAAACACCATGTTCAACCCGAATTTAGACAAGCTACATTCAAGCTACAAAGACAGGTAACGAAAATGGCACTACAAGCGTAGCAGCAGTAATGCCCACCTAAACACAGCATAGACTCTATATTTTGCCAACTTTTTTACAGGCCTGGGTGGATTTTATGTGGTGGTACTGGCTCGAAACATACCCACTGGGGCTCCAGATTAACAACGACACGGACGGCACTTAAACACTCTGTAGACACACATAAAATGATAAAAGTCAACCTCACACCCACATTTGGCCATCGATCCTAATAGCCAGACACCTAGTCTTTGTTACCAAAGGACAGTCTCGAAAGTACTTCAAAACGGAGACGTGCTGGAAGCTTTTGACAACACCAAAACGAATCAGAGGTTGTAATTGAGCCTGAAAGGACTCAAATGCTTTACAACCATAGAACAGACTGGGACTCTCTCCGAGAATATGTTGATGAGGCAATCAATCTAAAGGTCAAGCTAAAAACTGCTGAGGATATAGATCAGGCTCTGAAACATTTTACAAACCTGGTCCAAGAGGCATGCTGGAGAATGACTCCTGTCCTAGATAGTTCCAGATACAATACCAACTTACCACTATACATTAAAGATAAAATAATTGAAAAAAGAAGACTGCGTAGAATCGGCATTAGAGACATCCCAAGACAAAGACCTTGATAAGGCATACAGAACTTAAGGAAACTAATTCAAACAGCAAATGACTTGACCCTAAGACCAGCTGCAGTCACTGTCTGCAACTAAGGTAACAGACTATTCGCTTTGGAAATGTATGAAATCCTATGACAGACCAAAGAGAGAGCCACCACTAAAGAATGAAAGTTCCTCGAATGGGCAAGAACTAGTAGGAGAAGGCTGACTTTTGAGCATTTATCAAATTTGTACCAAATGAAACTGGTATCGAAATGCAGAAAGTGACATTAATGGCATACTAAACCAAGACTTTCAATTGGATTCTCCCCGTCCTGTGACTCCCGAAAGTAGGAAAAATATTAATTGCTTGAAACAAGAAAGCACCGGGCTATGATCTAATTACAAAGGAAGGCTGTCGGTACTTGGAGAGCCATATTATACATACCAGCTAATGAATAGTTGAGACTACAAATCGACTGTGGAAAATTTAATCATTATGATATACAAGGCCGGGAAACCTGCAAATGAAAAGACCTCCTATAGGCCAATAAGTCTATTACCAACAATCTCAAATGTTTGAGAAGATATTGTTAGAAGAATAATGCCATATCTAGTTGAGAGAAAAATCATACCGGACCACCAATTGGCTTCAGAAGACAGCATGGGACAAGAGCAAGTAAAGAGTCTGCGAGTACATAAGGAGCACCCTGGAACAAAAGGAATATTGCTTGCTCTTCCTTGATTCCGAGGATTTGATGAGTTTGGCACAAAGGTTCTGTGCAAAATTAAAGAGAATTGCCTATACATTGTTTACCATATTGAAATATACTTAAAGTAAGGGAGAGGAGGTCAACCCTTTGGAGAAGAGGAGAAAGGTTGGACCAATTTTATGTGGTCTAATGAGACCTACCTGTAACCTGGCACATGTGGCACTTCGCTAAGGAATTTGCCATAGAATCCTGTGTGGCATCCTAAGGAAGCCCTAAAAGAATAAAGCTGCGATGGGCAAAAAGCAGTCGGCCAAACCCATGTGACCTTCACCCTCAGAACTGGACTCCCCTTGTAACCCTAGGAAATAACACTTTACCTCAGAGTAACTGTGTGCTCCTCGGATCCATTAGACCAACGGCTACATGGAGGCAACACATAAATGCAAAGAAAGAAGAAATCTCACTTAAACACAAAATTTGTACTGGATGCTAGCCGCAACTCCAAGTTATCACTAACAACAAACTATTAATTTATAAAACTTATCCCGTGGTATGGATAAGTTTGGGGGAGTGCTCCGACAGTAATATTAACATATTACAACGCCAAGAAAATAAAATTCTTGGACCATGGCCAATGTGCCATGGTTTGTTCGTAATTCGGAACTCCATGAACACCTGGAATTGGCACAGTTAAGGATAATAGCTTGCTGTGTAAAAAGGAAAAAGCTCACAATCCACCCAAATGAACTTGCACGCCAACTGACCATATAAAATACTGTACGCTGAAAAGACACCAATCATGGAGCTTCAAGATCGAAAATACTCCAAGAAAGAAAATAATTATAGGTTCATTGGAGAATGCCCTCTACATGTTAAATAGATACACGTTGGGATATAGAAATAAAAAAAAAACGGATTCAAATCCACGACCACGTGTTGTTGCTCTTACCAACTATTTGATTGATTTCTAAGCTATCCTATGAAAAACAAATTTCATTTAAATAAAACACTTTAACGGTTTAAAACGCGATATATATTAGTTAAACTTATTTGAAAATTATGTTAACTACGGCCCAACGTTTCGGATGCTTTGTAGCAGCCATGGTCACGGTGCGACCTAAATAATTTTCAAATAAGTTTAACTAATATGTACTTTGGTTAATGGATATTAAATATACAATTATTAAAAAAAAGGCTTAAACTACAGGATGTTTTATATATGGGTGAAGCTTCATGCCTAAACTAAAATTTTGTTGGTATGTAAATCCCTAAAACGATGTTATCGCAAAAGTAATTACCGAAAGACAGCGGCGATCGGGGAAAACTTCGAAAAATCGTTTTCTTTCAACTTTTATTGCTTTCCCGAGAGAAGTCAGAGTAAAAATCATTATTAATGTTCGTGCGGAGTATTGATTCGGACAACTACAGTTTTTCTTTGTTCAAGAGAACTAATAGTTGTTAAAAAGAGTTAGCCTTGTACTCATTTGAATATACTTAACCAATTTAAAATTGCTTTACGGGACTATAACCAACAATTTGAGCGGCTGTGCTCCAATAGTACGGTATTTATTTTCAATAAGAATTATCTGAACTTTATAAGAATGGTGCACGTGAAATAAAACTAACTAAACGGCTTAAAAGAACGAGTATGTTTGTTTATTCATTTTTAAGTAGGACCCGACATTTCAGAATCGTCAAGACTATGTGAAGACAAATCGTCTTGACTGCTCAATGTAAATTTTGCATTTTAAACTGTAAAAAATAAAAAACTTTAACGGTTTAAAACGCGATATATTACTGACTCCCGTGACTCCCCGTGACCACGGCTGCTGCAAAGCATCTGAAACGTTAGCCGGTTAGCGGCCGAAGTTACAGATGCTTTTTCAAATAAGTCTAACTAATATATCGCGTTTTGAAGTGCTTTATTTAAATGAAAAGTGTGTTCTGAAACTTTGAATTACTTTTTGGAAATGTATAATCGCTATTGAACGATATTGTACTATATAAATCTTTACATATATAAACACACTTAATGTTGATGTATTCATGACAAAATGTAGTAATAAATTGTTGAAGACTTAGGTCAAGATACCCATATTTGGTTTCTGAGATAAAACAATAATTATGCGCCTAACTTGCGCTTATGTGAGGATGAAGCTGGACAGGTAACGATGAGTTCTATTTAAGGAAATACCTTAACCATAGAACATCTGTGCAAAATACGCTATTTTTGGCTTAGGACATTCGGATATTATGGTTTGATAAGAATCTGAAAATAAATCGATAAATTTGACTAATCAAAGACCAATTAGAGGGAACTAGAGCTAGAAATTGCTTTCGAATACAAATAAATCACATTTCTTAGAACGATTGTCTACAAATTACGGCCGCTGTTCGAACCTACTATTTATTGTCTAACTTGAGACACTCAGATTAATTTCTCCTCCAGATGCCTGCTGAACTTGACCCATTTAGCGAAACCTTCGCTGTTCCGTCTCTTTTTAACTTATTCGAGTTAAATAAGAGCAAAAGAGAAGATTTTTTGGCAGAGTACTTCGAAATCGGCATGTGCTACCCTTTCTATAATTTTGTTTTTATAGGAGAATTTAAGAACTAAATAAAATCTAAAATATACCATAATAACAGTTTTTATTACCAACGTATCTATGCTTCATTTTCCACCACACAAGTTAAGCTTTAAGTAATATATAAATTACTATGTTACAAAAAAATATATAAAAAAGTTTACTAAATGTAAACATTGAACAAAGTTTTTTAAAGGTTATGTTAAATGTTTATTTTATAATCAGCTGTCAATTTTGATATTTGAAATCATTTATACTACACTCTATACTACTAAAGTTATAAAGTATTAAATAAGTTTCAAGAATACTTTTATTGTTCAATAAGAAAGCAATACTTTATTTTTATATGAAAGTATTACGCGCTACAAGGTTGCCAATTAGTTATATAAATCAAGGAAAAATAAAAATAACTGCAGCATTAACGTGCGTATTTAATTGTGTTTAAGACAAATATATAATTATTTATATGAGTAAAAAAGAAAAACGAGAAATCCCTTTTTTGACGTTATTGTAATTCAATAATCAATAATAATTTAGAAGCAGCAATCGTTTAGGAATTGTCTACTCTAAATATTCAAAAAAATACAAATACAAAACAAGGATCAAAAGAATTATATACACAGGATATATATAAAAAATGTTTTTCTATCCAATTTATCAGGATCAGAGAACTTTCACCAGAGATGATCAAAAATATGCCGAACTCTCAATGGGAATCAAACCCACAATCGTGTCGGTTTTACTGGACTGGATAAAAACCTCGTCAAAGTAAAAAAAAAATATTATGAAAAATAATTCAATCGGGAATTTAAGATTATTAAATATCAACAACTAAAATTTGTAAACAAAACTATATAAGGTATAGACCTTAAATAATTTTGTAACTGTAGTTCATGCGAGTAATATACACTTTAATAAAAAATTTAACGGTTTAAAACGTGAAATGTATTAGTTAACTTATACTAATATGTTGCGCGTTTTAAATCGTTAAAAGTGATTTATTAAAAAAAAAAGATGTTGAGATAAATATTTAAGTTGAATAATAAATTAATTAATATGGAAAATGTTGTATTAAAAAAATAATTTACCACTGCATAGTAAAATAATTATTTTGACTAAGTAAACTTATATTCCAAATAAAATAAGTTATTTATTACAAAAAAACATTACATACATTTATTTACTATCTGTATCGGCTACAAAAAAAAAAGTGTTATACACCGACTAATATTACGTCATTACACACATTTTTAACTCCCAACTAAACACACAACATATTTAAATAAAACACTTCTACGGTTTAAAATGCGATATATATTAGTTAAACTTATTTAAATATTATTTTTAACTACGGTCCGACGTTTAAGATGCTTTGCAGCAGCCGTGGTCACGGGGAGACTTTCATATAAGTTTTACTAATATATATCGCGTTTTAAACCGTTACAGTTTTTTATTTAAATGTACCACTCGCGTAATCTATAGGTAGTATAAAACATGTTTAAATATACGGAATGTATGTAATAATACGAAAAGTACTTACCGGGTATGCTCGAAGGCAGCGCGTGGCCGCGGAGGCAAAAGCGGGCGCGGCGGGCGCCGGGCCCGGCCGCTGTGGCGTGAGGTGAGCGGGCACACGACCGCTGCCGAACGCGTAGGCGGTCGTCTGAGCCGTACCCCTCTACACCTCATCGCCTCACCGCTTCGCTTTGCGCCCGCCCTCGTCCACTGCAATGCGAGCGAACGAGAGATAGCAGCCGAGCTGGACGCTAATATCCCAATAAAAAATCCAAATTTGTCAATTCAAAGTCAAAGTCTAAAAGTCATTTATTCGTGTAAGTAAATTACGAACGTCACACAACCAAATAGTTCTAACTACACATTTACTACCAGTTCTCAAATAAAGGGCATAGAACGAACGAGAATAACTGGCAATAAGCTCGCCGCCATCGCCAACTTTTATTTTACATATGTCCTTGCATACTGCTTGTCTAGTCAAAGAAGAGAAGAAGTAAAAAATTTTTTACTAATTATATGTAAATAGTTTTCGTAGTTAACGCGAATAATATACATTTAAATAAAACATGTTAACGGTATAAAACGTGATATATTAGTTAAACTTACTTTGCAACAGCTGTGGTCACGGGTCTCCGCGTCATCCCAAACGTGGGGCCGTATTTAAAATAATCTCCAAATAACTTTTAGTAATATAGATTGCGTTGTAAATCGTTAAAGTGTCTGAATTAAACTTATAATTAACTAGGTAAACTGATAAACCTGAGTTAAGAGAAAAAGACTCTTGACGTTTGGTTTCAGTTCAGTCAAATCAAAGGCCTAGATCGAACTGGCAAGAAACATGCTGCGTTTATTTTTTTAACAAACAAGCATGGCGTCTACTTGATGGAAGGTGAAATACCGCGCCCTTGTCATATCCTAACAAAAGGGTCGTTTGCTCTATTTTGGGCTTGCAATTTGAAATCCACAGACTGAGAGAGAAACGCCATGAAAAGGCCGTGTTTTTCATCTGTAGACAGTATTCGACTATTTCAACATCTAGATGAAATTAACATAAATCAGAAAGTAACATAAATTGATTAGAAATATATTTGACTCGGTGGGTAACGAATTTACGACCGATTTTAATCTTCAAATAGAAATCGATCAACGAGATCGTTTATAAAAACTTCACGTACTTAATATATATATTTTTTTCCCTTTTTAGAACTTTTCGTACCTAATCACTATAATAACACTACCCAAGTAGTTTTGTCTAACATTTTTGACCGCCTTAGCATAAGCATGACAACGCAATCTCTGCTAAAAGTAATCTACGCTAAGCTTTTAATGTAGCCATGTCCTTATTCTAAAACTCAAGGCACGCATGGGGAAGATTGTTAAGGATTTACGTCAACAAATTGGATTATTTACAATATGTCCATCAATAAATATAATTAAAAAGTATTCGCTTCTATAACACTTGGTTATGTAAGTGTTGGTTTTATTACTCTAGGTATTGGTTATAAGGTTCAAAAGGTGTACATTATACATATAAGAATCTATTTTCGAATTAAAATAAAATTTGCGTGTTTTATAATTTCTTTCTAATAGTTCGGACATGGAGTAGATATTTTTTTAATTTTTAACAACCAATTATTGAAGAAAAAATAATCTTCCCAGTTCTTAAAACTATTAAGGTTGCATAATACAAATTTATAGTACATTTCAGTAATAATATTTCTCCTTCAAATTTATTTAACTTATAATTGTTATTACTTTGAAATCAAGGCGTAGATGTAAGAGGCTTACATAAAATCATCCTTTTTAGTGGTTCTAAGAAACGACGTTTTTATCTCAAGGCCTAATCTTTTTCATTGCTAACGTAAATAGGGAGTAGAGAATAAAGAAATAGTAAAGTTGCGATATTTTATGTACACTCTAATTATTTCACTAAATGTTTGGGTGAAAATTAAATTAATGATTATTTGTTTATCACCTTTGACTACAACATTTTATGATGCTTGAAGTGTAATTGGTGGTGTAACTGACGTCAAGTTCCTTTAGGGCAAATATTCTCAAAAAAAGTTGGATGATACAATACGTAAAGAGTTGTAAAACATCCGTACATCCATCAAATTAGCAGCATTTTTACATTTAAAGCATTATTACAAGTATATATATGTTGTTCTATATACCATTTTCTATTTCTTTTCTTCAGACTCAAACCCACACTATTGTTTCACAGATACAAAACAGCTCAATTGAATTTTTGTGCCGTAATGATTTCACGTAGGCGAAATTTCCTTTCATCAATAAATATACCGACGAAGCCCTAATAAGGCCAGCTCAAAACGTTCTTTGAATCTACTGTTAATTATAACACCGTAACATAATCAAATTCCTTTAAAATAAAATAATTGGATATTTTATCGATGTTTCCGTAACCATAACAATATGGCGTCATAACATCACCGTGGCACTTCGCTAGTACGCTACGCCGTAGCGTGTCTACGCTGACGCCCACGCGTTCGTAGAACAGATGTTGCTTTTTTATACCATACTGGGCTTTACTCATTTATCTGTCTAAATGGATAAAATGCTTTAAAGGAAATCTATAAAAATAATTGGAAATTACAAATAAACATAGGTGTTCATGAATATAAGTGTATATGCATTTATGTTTGACCAGCTGTGCCAGCGACTCCGTCCGCGTAAGATAGTTATATTGGGCATTCAAATTTGTTTTTGCAATCATCTTTATACATTTTTACCGTTACCCACGATATCGTTTGCGTCCTTTCGTTTTTGCAAGTTAATCTTAAAAGGAAGATATATATTGCGGCGAACATTTTTGTAGAATATTTAAAAATGATTAATTCTTTCATACACATTTTTTGGGTGTCTTGAACCTTTTTCACAGCGTACGCATCAGAAACTCACAAAGTTTACTAATTTTTCCTGTTTTTTTCCATATTTAATGCTGTTTCTTCGCTGCTGATTGACTAATCAGGTGTGACTACACCGCAATTTTTTATAGCCTACCACAAAATACTCTAACTAACACAAGAATAATCTTTTAATTCGAACCAGTAGTTTCTGAGTTTAGCGCGTTCAAACATAGAAACAAACAAACTCTTCAACTTAATACATGATTGATTTCACATCACGTAGTTAAGTTTAAATTTCAAATTTGTTGTTAACGATCGGGACACTGTACTTTACGTTATCTCTAAACTCGATAAAAATCATATAAAGTTCAATACATAAATTATAATGCGTTCATGCGTACAAATTAAAAATCATCTAAATTTACGAAATATTACAAACTGTGTTTGATTTTAAAATACGATCTAACAAAGGGCACTTGTCCAATCTAAGCACTCCTTCTTATTTTCGCTTCGTGAGCAATAAAAACGTGAAGAACACCTCAACACAGCGTAATATATCGATCTGACAAAACGGACTCGATCCATTAGACAACCGTCCCTTTCCCCGCGTTTTGGTACTTACTTTTTTACCTATATCTTACGTTTAAGCAAACTTTTTCCAAACTACTGTAAAAGGAGGACTTGACTTGGTTTAGCAGTATATTGAAACAAAAAACAATCTTAAATTGTGTAAGGCTTTCACGGCCACCGTTCAACATATCATTCTTTGCGGGCTGTTCGACCGGCTTGAGCGAAAGGAATTTTTCGAGCAATCGAAGAGCTAAACATCTTCTGATGATGCCGTACGCTCGTGATGGTAAAATATCGAGAACCTCTTCTCACTCACGTCGGCCGAACAAAACGAAAAACAATGCTACGAAATGACAATCTTGTTTTTTTTTTCTTTTTACGCGTCTGCTTATAATATTAAAAATACCAATAATCATTATCTAATCCCAATAAATAGGTTATAAAAATATACAGTCTACACGTAAGCACTTTGTATTAAGGGCGAACAAAGTTATTACAACGACATAAAAAGTAAAATTGTCTTAATGGTGAGAATTATTATGATAACGTTCGTTCGTCGTTTATAAGTAGTAAAAATGTATGGCTAATATTCGTTGACGCCGGTCGGTTGTTTTTTTTTTCATGGAGACTAACAAGTCTTCGAATAACAAAATAACATTACAGTTACAAGCCACTGTCCACAATGGAAAGTCATCTGTCTTTAGTTTCAGTCTGTGGATTTCAAAAAGTCTAAAGCAATACAAATGATAATTAGCACTTTGAATTTATATTATTGATCTGGGGCATTTCTGCGGTCATAGAGAAAGAAAAACATGTAATTGTGTTTTCTAACAAACTGTATGAAAGGTTTTTAGTGTGGAAACCATTATCATTAGTAGCTTGAACACTGATAACATCACAAACAGTCATTAGATTCCACGCTTCATAACGAAAATTGTACAAGTTTTGTAAATAAATCCCTTTTGTTTGCTGACTTTGAGTTTTTTGTAGTGATCGCAAACTACCAAAAAGTGACGTATTTTTTAATATATACTTATATATAAAGCTGAAGAGTTTATTTGTTTAAACGCGCTAATCTCAAAAACTACAGATTCGAATTGATTTTTTTTTTGGGTTGGTTAGCGAGCGAAAAAACGGGGAAAATATTAATCTCTGTAGGTTTCCAAGGCGTACGCTGCGAAAACAGTTCAAGACACCCAAAAAATATGTATGAAAGAATTATTCCTCTTTAAATGATCTAAAAGAAGCGCGTCAGTATATGTCTATCTTTTAAGGTTAACATGCAACAACAACTTAAATTTATAAAGATAAAGGAGGTACGCAATAAGAAATCTTAAAATAGCTATTCTACGCGGACGAATTCACTGACACAGCTAGTTAACAATAAATATTATGTTTCGAGGTATGCAATCGTTAAGTATGAAAAATCCCAAGGCTTTCCATTCCTTAAGATAAATGATTTAATACCAAGATCGTTTCGACGCTGCAAAGAATAATTTTCTCCCACTTAGCCTGATCTCAATGCAAAATTGAATTGCTAGTTTACGTAAACATAACTAGGTTTACTCACTGTGTAAATAATTTTATTACATACTAGCTGAGTCAGCGACTTCGTACATGTAGAATAGTTATTTTGGGTAACAATTTTTGTTTTTGCAAACATCCTGATCTACTTTAAAAATTTAAGCTGTAACCCACCACCACGTTGGTCGCGTCCCTTTCCGTCGTTCTTGCAAG